TTATTGCGAAATAGGAGCACTATTTATCAATCTGTAATAAAAGACGTGAGGAAATTCTGTCTTTTTTAAAGACAAAAATTTTTGAGGCGAACTACCCAAAAAGAAGTTTGTAAAAAAATGAATCCGCCTCAACAAAATAGAACTTATCTACAACTTAGGTATGAGAGCTGATATATTACAAGTTTCAAAGTGAATACAATACGAGAAGCACATCATCCTGGATACAAACGGAACTTTTCCCCCTTGGCTCGTATATTTTCTTTACCGAATCTTTCTTGCACTGGATCGCCCGAAACTGAAATTTATTTTTCACGAGCAAAGACGGTAAAATCTTGCCAACTTTCCTGAATTATTAATGTCAACTTGCCTAATCTGACTCGAAGTTTCTGCATTTTCAAACGAGCATAATACGGTTAGCTATTCTCTGAAGACGAGAAGGTTAACTTTCTGTTTTCTCCCTTTAGATCTTGATCCATGAATGTTATTAACTTGTCTAGTTCAATAGATCTAAAATTGTTTAAGTGTTCTTTGTGCTGTTTTAGGAAATTATATCGAAGTATACACATGATTGAAAATTAGAGTCATTCTTCCGGAGCTTGCTAGAGAATGCAAAACATATTATAGAAAAACATTTATTGTGCAGATATTAGCAAAACAGAAATATGTGCCAAGTCATGTTTTCAGCCCCGTTTTTGCTCATTTCTCGGAATCAAAAGCAGCAAAAACGCTCATTTTTACATCCCTCCAGAGAGAAATAAATGGCCTTTTAAGAAAGTGAACCATTGATAAGAAAATGTTGGCACTTTTCTAAAAAAAGTCTTGATTTCAAGAAGTTTAAAATTTGCGCGTTTTTTTCGTCTCAAAGAGAGAGGCAAATTTAAGGTTTTAAGAAAACAAAGACCTAAAAGAAGGTCAATATTTACCAATTTATCTCTAGAAATTAGTGAATTTCTGGAGCATTAATGGGTAGAAAATAGAGGATAGGGCGCCAGCTTGAAAAACCTTTAGATGGTGATTACCATCTGATGGCGCTATTGTCTCACCGAAACGTAATGCACTAAAAGATATTCAAAATTTTTACTTCACACTTTGACTGAGACAGGAAAGATAAGAATACAATTGCATCTATCCAAAGTTTCTCCCGTGTGTTCATGTTTTGTCTGCACGTGTATGTTCGATTAGTAAGGCCTAAACAGTTTTCAAATTTGGAAACCCCTTTTAAGTTTTACTGGATCTTAAATCAAAATCTCACAATTATTTTCCAAAATCATCACAAATCCACGACATTTAATTGTTAAATCAAGGAAGTGGAAACGATGACGAGAAAGCAAAAAATAATGCCAATTTAAGCGAGTTCAGTTTGTCTCTATAAAACCGCTGAAACTTTCGACCTGCGATCCGCTTTCCGATTCACCTACTGGCAGCAATCAGAATGATTATCAAAAAAGCATAGACACCTAAAACAGTCTTTACACTGTTGAGAGACAGCGTTGCTTCTCTCGTTCCAACAGGACAAACGCAACAAAGACCCTTCTGTGCGAAGGGTCGTCCCTCCAGATATCCCGGGCCAATCAGTGCTCCCCGCTGAAAAACAAGGGCTCGTCCCTTAATAAAATTCAGTTTCCCTTGTCAACAATGTTGGATGGGCGAGGTTAGTGGGCGAAAGGGTCGATATCAGGGGCCTTGCGCCCTAGGGGTAAGGGAAGTTAGTTTTCACGGAGCGCTCAGAGCGGATAGAGCTTTATGCTGCAACTCGAAGTCATAATCGTACAACCAGAATATTTTCCATTGTTTGAGTTATTGAAAATCTGCGGTTTAGTGCGAACATTTTAAGCGTTGGTTGTTAATTAGCGGTTCGAACATGATCTGCAAAGACAGGGAGTCTCGTGATATTGAAATGTATAGAGTGCCGCCGATATGTTTAGATGATATGCCTGAGATACTATTGTGTAAGTACATCACATATCACACAGATAGAATTTATTTATTTATTAACAGTTTTATGGATCTACATACTTATCATCAGTTATTTAAGGTGAGCCGGGAAAAATAAGTCATAATTTAATTAATTGTTCGATCGTCTTCATACAATTTGACTAACCATGCCGAAGCCAAATCTAAGCCAAATTCGCTCTAAGCATATACTATGAATGAAAAATGTTATCGGTGAATGGAAAATGTTATCGGTTAAAGCAAGAAGAAGGACTTTATCCGAGTGCTATATATATTTATTATATATATTTAGTGCTCTCGTGACACTCAAATGTTTTCTTTTTTGACTTTGTGAGTATTTTCTGACTGTATTTCAACTTAATTCAAAAGAAATTCCTGGGTTCCAGTCAATTTTATTGTTTACCATTTAAAATATTACAAAAACGTTTCGGTGTTTTTCTCCACCATCATCAGTTTGTATGTCGGATCGGATTTTATTGGGGCAAAGAAAATTTATTACCAATTACTTACTATTTTTGGATCTTTTGTTGACAAAGCTCACTTAACAGAAATAAATATTCTTGCAAGAAAACCTCCTAAATACATACTATATTTTTATTTTTAGATATTGCTTTTTATTTGACTTTAATTTTCAGTTCTTGCTTTTAAAGCATTTTCAATATATTCCGCTTAGGTAATTAAAAGCAGAAATACTTTACATGTTAAAAAGTTGGCAATTAAAAAATATTAGTGGTTTTGTGTGCAGGATTGACTTCAGTTCAATGAGGTCCACAAAAATTATTGTTTGGCTTATTATCTCGAAAATTTTTCAATAAATTCCATTATTTTTAAGTTTCACAATTGCATCAAGCATGGTTCACTTTCTAAAAAGGCCATTTATTTCGCTCTAGAATGATGTACAAATGAGCGTTCTTGCTTATTTTGCCTCCGAGATATGAGCAAAAACGGGACGGAAAACATGATATTTTGGCATAATCTTGCACCGAAGTCTCTGATATTCAAATTTCGCTTTCTGGGTCAAAACTACTCGAATTTCCTCACTCACGTTATTACGACTGAATCGACTTTTCGATTCTCTATCCAACGATGCCAAAACGAATTCTGTGGCTCGAATGCTTCTTGAGAAACTTCGAAAAAAGCAGCGTTATGTTCAAGTGGATTTTGCAACTAAAAAAAAAAACACGCAATTGTAAAACTTCTTGAATTCAAGCATTTTCTGAGAAAACTGCCAACATTTCCCCATCCATGGTTCACTTTCTAAAAAGGTCACTTATTTCTCTCTAGAATGATATAAAAACGAGCGTTCTTGCTCATTTTTCTTCCGATAAACATGCAAAACGGGACGAAAAACATGGAATTTTGCAATAATCTTATGCCACCCTTGCGCAAAACGACGATAATTTTTCTAATTTCATAGACAACAGAAGACTATAATTTTTCTACATAACCCCCCCCCCCCTGAATTTAAAAGCGCCTTCTACTATAATAAAAGCGTAAGTTAAACCCTAAATAAATGGGTTTGCTATAAAAAGTCGCATTTAAAAATGAAAATTGTCGTGTACGAGCTTTTCTCCAACAAACAGTCTACTGAATTTTAAATGAATTTACACAACTTCTGGGACCGACTGTATGTTATCGCCACTGATTTTTTTGTTCTTCTTATAAACTGCAAATCAACTTTTCACTTACTAAAGGGTAACTATTGTTTCAGCAACAATTCCAAAATGTGGCGGATGCCATGAGCTAATTTTGGATAGATTTATTTTGAAAGTTGCGGACAGAACATGGCACGCCAAATGCCTACAGTGTACAGACTGTAGAATGCAGCTCACAGACAAGTGCTTCGCAAGGAACGGACAACTTTTCTGTAAGGAAGATTTTTTTAAGTAAGTATCAGATCTTTTTGAGCCATACATTCAGTTTATTCGCTTTTTGTATCAAACTTCAATCATGGAACTTAACAAGGTACATGTTTATAAAACTCACTTCGGACATACTCTACAGGGTGATTCGAAAATGGCGCCATTCCTTTAGGAGTGTTGTCTGGCGGTCTTTAGGGAGTACAGAGTTATTTATTAAACTTTGGCCCCATTTTAACATCTAGCTTGAAATTTAGCGCAAAAAATCAAAAAGGTGAACAACTCAGATGAGGCACGCAATAGGCTCAATAAAAACCTGATTTTTTCGGAATTTGGTAGATTTTTGGACACTCCTACACTTTTCAGAGTTTTTTGGACTCATGCGTGCATCGTCGCTTTTAGGGAGTGTTGTACTTTGAAACGTTTTTTAATTTGTTTTTCACACCCCTTTTTCAGTTAACCATGAAGTGTGTTCACTGAAGAAAGTATATTTGACGCAAGCTATTCAGTTTTTTGTAAAAATACATGTAAAAAATTTAAAAAAAAGTACAAAGAAAGGAAAAATTGTCGAAAATGAACAGGTGAATGCTGAAGCCATTCTTGCATTCGTAACACCGATCCAATAATTTTAAGACGAAACTTCTGTAGCGTTCCATCAGCACAACGACAACAAAGACAAAGATTTCTATGACTCCTTCGGGAGCTTAATGAAAATTAACATTTCAAACATCTTGTTTTAGTCTGATAACTGCAACTAATTTAACGATCGGTCAGTCCTAGAAGTCTGTTTTTTCTGTTGTCTTTTCAGTTTCACCTTTCTTTGCTAGCTTATACCGAAAGCAACACATATTTAGATTATAATGTCGCGAACATATCAATGTAGGGGTTTATGATTTAGGCAATATTTAAGTTTTTGTGAAAGTAGTTTTTATAGTTGTTCTGCAGGCCCTGAATACCCTAAACAACTGCAGCGGATGACGCCAATTTTTAATCACTACGTTCGTTAGTTTTAATCTGTGAATAAAAACATTTTTTTGAAGGAACCATGTGGCATGAAACTTTGCAACCTGACACAAAAATGCGACCATTTTTGTTCTTGCTAGTGGTTCTTTTCTTTAAATTATAACTAATCGAAGCACACTTATAAAACATTTTTTTATTCGAATGAATCAAAAAGTGCCATTTTGCAAACAGAAGCGATGATCAAAAAGAATCACTTTTCTTTAGCGTTCATTTGTTTTACTTTTACGCACGGACTTTGCCGCACAGTGTGCGACAAAGTAAATGTGACACTTTGAACTTGCCACTGTCATTATATACTTTTTAGTATTTTTATTTAAAAATAACCGAAATGCTTTTTTAAGGAATTACGTAGGTTTATCAACAACTATTGATCCTATTTTCAAGTTTACTTACAATTTGCAAATTATACCTTTGTTACAAGTTCAGTCTCATAATCGTTTTAATGGCCTACTTATCTACTTTTGCGATGTTGTCACACGTAAAACACGATCTTTTGAAGAAGCGCAAATGTCATGCAGAGTATGCAACATGCATACACCATCCCAAGACCACAGATGTTTCAAGTTGAAAAAGTACTTAAACTTAATTACAAACTTCAAAACATGACATTTCAAAAAATGACACTGCCACAAAATTTTAAATATGAAATCGATGCATTTTATTAGTCGTGTAATCTTTCATTCGAATAAAAAATAGTGTTTGATACGAGGGCGAAAATTTGTTTTTCGAACTCCTGACGGATTGACACCCTCGACTTCGTCTCGGGTCTCAAACGCCGTCGTCGTTCGAAAAACGACATTTTTCGCCCTTGTATCGAAAACTACTATTTTCTGGCATATTTGGCAACATATGTATATTGTTTATGCTTTTATGCTGTGGGTGCAGGCGCTTCGGAACAAAGTGCGCAGGTTGCGAGCTGGGCATTCCACCAACACAGGTCGTGCGCAGAGCACAAGACAACGTCTACCATCTTCAATGTTTTGCATGCGTAATGTGCGCACGGCAGCTCAACACAGGCGACGAATTCTACCTCATGGAAGATAGGAAACTTGTGTGTAAACCCGATTACGAAACGGCAAAGTCGAAAGGTAAGTTGCGTCAACTGTGCGAAAATGTGCGAAAATCTTTGGACATTCTATGCATTGAAATCTGAGAGCCACTTTATCGATTGAGACATAGATTTGCGTGACCAGAGCTCCATCGATCTGATTCTCGATCCGAGCTTCTAATACTGCGACTTTAGAAGCTGTCCCTAAAAAAGGGAGTAGTTTTGAGAAAAATTTGTTTATTTCGCTACGTTTCGGCGAGACAACAACAGCGCCATCATCAGGAAAGGAGGAATTGGAAACTCATTCAAACCCAAAATTGAGAAACATTATATTAATTCTGCTCTTTGCTGTCTTGAACCTTCAATTTGCTTTCATTTTCAAGAAAACAAATTGAAGGTTTAAGACAGACAGACTCACCCAGACTGGTAAAGCCAGGAAAGAGGAAGAAGAAGTGTCAAGTAACCCCTGCTGACTACGTAGTACTTTACAAGAAACTTCAATTTTCCAGTTTAATTCAATACGACATTAATCGAGTTGCTAGTGATTCATAACGGATTCTATAAATCAGCTAAGCGCGCTTAATTTATTCTATTAGACTACAAAAAAGCGCATACATTGGCAATAATTCTGTTCTGATGGATTCCAAGGTGACAAGATCATTTTAGAATCAAATGCTTATTTAAATGGAAATAACTCGGTACTGGTATGCATGTTGCTCGCTTCGCTTATTATGGAAATAGCAGTTGCATATGCGTGGCGAAGACTTGATGAGACTCTTCTAAATTCGTCCCCATTTGAGTTTTCATTTACCCAGAATGCGATAATATTAGCGGTATTCTTTTGTAGGTGTTGCGGGAAGTGCTTGGGGAATATCTAGGAAATACCTTGCATCCACTTTTCCATGATATAAGCAAAAAGTGTGCCCGAGTTTCCATTGTTATCATTGAGCATCACATTGATTCAATCTATTATACTTTGTCACTCCTGCCCATTGACTATTTAACCACCTTGAAACTTTGCTTAATGGCCAATTTCGAATTGCGCCTCTCGGACCTAATAAATCCCACAAATCAACTAAAAAACTTATTTTGAGCGGTATCTGCACTTCTACAAGAAAAGATCGGTGTTAAAGTAAATTTAAAATCCCTCCTGACGGCAACTTTCGAATGGTAGAACATATAGATACATTACTTTGCCTCGTTGGCAATTTCAGCCTTTTTGGTCATTTCGACTTTCTTGGATATGCAAAATTCTTCGGGACGGAAAACATGAAATTTTGGCATAATCTTGCACCTAAGTGTCTCATATTCAAATTTCGCTTTCTGGGTCAAAACTACTCAAATTTCCTCACTCACTTTATTACGACTGAATCGACTTTTCAATTCTCCATCCAACGATGCCAAAACGAATTATGTGGCTCGAATGGTTCTTGAGAAACTTCGAAAAAAGCAGCGTCCTGTTCAAGTGGATTTTGCAACTCAAAAAAAAAACACGCAAACCTAAAACTTCTTGAATTCAAGCCTTTTTTGAGAAAACTGCCATCATTTCCCCATCCATGGTTCACTATCGAAAAAGGTAATTTATTTCTCTCTAGAATAATGGACAAATGAGCGTTCTTGCTCATTTTGCCTCCGAGATATGAGCAAAAATGGAACGGAAAACATTAAATTTTGGCATAATCTTGTACCTAAGTGTCTGATATTCAAATTTCACTTTCTGTTCAAGTGGATTTTGCAACTCAAAAAAAAAACCCGCAAATCTAAAACTTCTTGAATTCAAGCGTTTTTTGAGAAAACTGCCAACATTTTCCCGTCCATGATTCACTTTCTAAAAAGGCCATTTATTTCTCTCTAGAATGATGTACAAATGAGCGTTCTTGCTCATTTTGCGTCCGAGAAACATGCAAAACGGGACGAAAAACACGAAATTTTGCAATAATCTTGCACAAAACGACGATCATTTTTCTAATTTCATAGACAACAGAAGACTGTATTTTTTCTTCATAACCCCCCCCCCTGACTTTAAAGCTGTATCCACCCCTGGATGATTGTATAAAAGATCTGTTATGCGACACTTTAGAGAGGAAACTTTCCCAATTTCCCAAACAGGGAACAGTTACTAGCAATTAGGAACCAAAGTTTTATCTCTAAAATGTACTGGACTTCCATCAGAATATCAAAGATGATCATCCACTATAGTAGGCATAGTATGTATTGTGCTAAGCTTAAGAAACATATTTCTATGATGATTTTGAGCACCGAGTATCGAGTTATATGCGATTAAATATTTCCGTTGGCAATGCGTTGCCCACTGTGTATTAGCAGACGTTTCAAAACGCTTAGGACAGTTTCAAAAGATCCTCAAAATTCTCTTTGCTCACTAACGTAAAAATTATAATAATATTTGCTACTCGCTCAGTTCGGCCGCGTATAAAAGTTCCCATTTTCAAAAAGCCCATGTAAACCACAAATCAGAAAGTCTTCCGCATTTAAAATTGAGCAATAAACTAATTCAACAAAGCAGGTTGGCGTGTTTCAAGCTCGAGTGAATAACTAATATTTAAATTCGTATTGAGTATATTAGCAAATAAAATGCAGGAATTAGACTAATTGTTTTTCATGTTGTGTGATCAACACCAGAAGTGGTTCCACATATTAAAATCCTTCTGCGTAGTTGAGCAGATTTGCGTTATAGCATTTGTAAATAAATTAAATCAAAGTGACCTGAACATATTCAGCTGATGAGAACAATTGCTGATTTGATGTAGCGTCTATTATCCTATTTAATTTGTGAAACGAACTGGTAAAACTATCATTATTCAGCATATGTAGAAAACACATTTGACTGGTAAATTAGCCAGGTAACTACACAAAATTCAGACTTGTTCTTGACCCTCCCAAAAAATTACTTCGGCGTTTCCCCTGAGAGTATCATAGACGATATGGTTTATTTCAAATATTACATAAGTGTTCAGATTAAAAAGCAATTTGCATTCGATTATCGACAAAGTGAAAGGCACAAAAATGTAATAATAAAATTATTGACTTCCACCTGTGCGCGCCTTCTCATGCATTAATTTTTTCTCTTGTTGATTATTTTTTGTTCAGAACACCGGTGTCTAACAATTTATATTCTTAGAAATCAATTAGGTAATAATTAGGAATATATTAAATTTAAAGTACTGTTGTATTTTATTGTAATTTAAATGTTGGTGGTTTTTTATGGTGTTGATTACACTGACCGTCCATTATAGACAAGCCAATAAAATGTGAACGAGAACTTCGACAGCTTATTGTTTTCAAATGGCCATAAAGATGCGTACCGACCTCGTCCCTAGACTGGAAAATTAACTTAAATTAACCCTGATACATACAGTTGCTAATGTTCTTGTTTCCATATTTAGTACTCAGCAACATCTGCAAAATATGCAAAATATTTTGCACACAATATAACTGTAAAACCTAGTGAGATTTAGTTGCTTTATAGCCTTTACAACAATGTTTGTAAGTGCAAGTAATTTAATCTACAATATTTCCCACCGAAAGGTTTTCAAGATCGTTTGCCCATTTTTCAGAAAAGCATGTTTTTCTTTGTAAGAAACATATACATTTTTTTTCTAAATGCTAAATTTTCAAAAAAATCACTTTAAAATACTGACAATCTTAAGGTATTTTTTCGGGAAAAATTATGAAATTATGTTTGAAATCCCTTTCCAGGTTCGAGTTTGGGCCAAAAATCAAATAATTTTCTATCAAAAAACGAACTGAATTATCGAAAGTTTCTATAAATTATTTGGAAAACTCATCACTTCCATTCCTCTGACGACTGTAGAGTTTGTTAAAAAAATGTGGTTTTTTAGTTTTGACTTAATTTTTTTGCTTCACTTTCTACTCAAAAACGCTCTATTTTGAAGAGTTTTACTTAAAAATACTGACGATCTGGATGTATTTTAAACGAAAACATACAAGATATATTTATAGCTTTGTAGAAATTTTACAAAAACTTTTTTCCGAGTCGAATTCGGGACAAAAAGGAAAATAAATTTATCCCGTTTTTCCCGGAAACTATTAAGGTTTTCTTCAAAACCGATCACAAAAGTAAAAGTTTTTAATCGAAAACGCAAAAAAAAACATTATTTTCTGATGATTTCCTTCTTTTCTGGCGTTAATGGGGGCCTTGATTGGGGGACAAAATTGATTTTTCTTGAAAATTGGCCTCATTCATCGATTTGCAGAGAATTTTAGAAAACCCTTTTCAGCTTCGAATTTGGCACAGAAACCAAATCGTTTTATTCAGTTTTTTTATCGAAAGCAATTAAGATTATCTTGAAAAAACGGCCAGAGAGCAAAAGTTTCCAAAAAATTATTTGAAAAATTCGCCACCCTCATCGCTCTGAAGATTTTTCACGTTTCTTTGAAATTTCAGGTGATTCCAGTTTTAGCAACGTTTCCATTAAGCAATTCGTGCTACGCTAAAAACGTATAATTTTTAGTTTTAGTTAAAATACTGACAATATTCAGGTATTTTCTGCGAAAATACCTGAATACTCGGCTCCTGAACAACTTTGTAAATTTTTTTCTGGAACCTTTTGCAGCTTCCAAGTTGATTTTTTCCAAAAAATATTTCCCCGAACAGAACAAGTGAGAGTTTAGAACCAATTATTCGGAAAACACGTCACTTTTGTCGCTGTGAACAATTTGGTTTATATAAATTCCGGTTTCTTCACTATATCAATCAATATTTCCAAACAGAACAACACGTTTTTCCTAACGTTTTACTGTAAAATACTGGCAAACTGAGAGTCCTTTATGCAAAAAAGTTACAAGAAAAGTCATCTAGTTTGGTCTTCTTTATCGTCTTTTTCGAATACCCATTTTACCTTTGAATTTGGGACAAAATCGAAACAAAGTTATCGTGTTTCCTCAAAAAACGATCAGAGATAGCAACAGCATATAATCAATATTTAGAAAACTCGACACCCTCATCGCTCTAAATTTTTTCAGTTTTTTCAAAATATCCGCATTTTCCCCGTTTCAGACCAAATAGTTTCAAGCAATTTTGATGGCCTTTTTTGTTAGATGTTAAAATTCCGTCATTGGCCATGAGTTATAACTCATCAACCATTACATCAACATCAACTCATTAACTCAGAGACCGGCAACAACTCAAAAGCGCTCTCAAACCAGGCCTACACAGCTCTAAACCTGCACTTCCTTACATCAATTTAATGCAATTTTTTCATTCCTGGTACAGTTGTTGAAAGTGTTTCATGCTGTGTTATTGTGGAGAATAAAGTTCGGAAAAACAAGCATTCAATCAAGTAAATAAATTATATCAATAAACACGTAAATTGACTTAAAGTTTGCTCGTTGTTCTTTCTTCACTGTAACAAGTACTTAACCACGTGCAAATCAGTTATATTAATCTGAAAGTGGCACTCAGTTTTTTTCTGCATTAATTTACAGCCAGCCCCCAACAATATCATTGATAATTATACAGTTACTATTTTTGGAAAATTATAGGAGCGAGCAAATAAAATTTTAAGTTGTTTTTCAGCTGCAGAATGTTTAGACGGTGATCAACCAAATAAGAGACCCAGAACCACGATAACAGCA